AAATGGTGAAACAAATGGTGACAGTCCATACTACATGTACTTACACCAATGTTGAAACAGTCATAGTCCATACTACATGTACATGTACTTATACCAAGTTGATTTTTGATTATGATTAAAATGACTGGCATTCAGTCATCTTGTATCTGATCTGTAAATGAGTATTTGTCCATATTAAAATATATTGCTCTGGAACAGCATTAATTAAAACAAAATGGCCACCAGTCAGCCATTTTGAAACGCATAGTCAAACCAATACATCTGTATATCTATGACATGATGTATAATGAATACATGCATATAAAATTGGATCATGATAATCAATCAAAGCATATCAGAGATATGGCACGAGAACCGCATTCATTAAAACAAAATGACCGTCTTTTTGGCCATTTTGAATCCCATCTGAAAAACAAAATGATGTGCGTCAAGGCTCCATAATGTTCAATGTATGTACATGTACCAAGTTTCAAAAAAATCCATCTGTAAAGATTCAAGATCCAGTTCCGGAATGCCAGAAATGCTTGATTTTGATGAGTTTTCAGCATGAAATGGTCGCCATTCGCCATTTTGTGGAACAAATTGATGTACATATGTATAATATTATGTAGGATATATGTGTGAATTAAGTTTGAATGTAATCAGTCATGTCTAAGATACAGGTTCGGACGCACATACAAACGTATTGATGCACGCACAGGGGTTCATCCACAAGTCCTCATTTTAGGCTGCATTTAATAAAGGGACTATTAAGGTTCTTCACAGTAATCCATATTTGTGCATATAGCTAATCATCGTTACACATTTTTTGTTTCTTATCTACAGTTAGTAAAAGATGATTTCCCCAAGACAGAACGTGAGAAAATCATTCTTCCCCCACCCTTGGCACTTCCTCCAATAACACCAATATCAAGATACATCAAAATTGGCAGATCACCAGCGGTTCCAGAAACCACAGCTCAATTTGTTGGTTGGCGCTCTACTAAGTATGACTGCAGACTAGAGAAATATGGACGATATGCCAAACCCAAAGGTGGTCTTGTAAGACAACTAAATTGGCCACAAGAGGGGATTGACTAACATACAAAACAGTATATGTTTTTGGTAGGGTCAGCCATTTTATTTTATTGTACAGTGGACTGGGTTAAATCTATGCATATTATGTGATCCATTGCATTTCTGTGTCACAGTAAGTTCACAGTGAAAACTATAAATGACCTCCGAAACCATCTTTCCTTCCTGCATAGCAAAATCTGTGAAACCATCTATGTACAGATTTATTTGCGATCTTTTTAAAGTCATTTGAATATCACAAAAATAACTCGTAAAAAGCAAATATGTGTTAGGTCTGAATATTTGTGATTTTTGTGAAATTTGCACATCTATGGAGATCAGTCTGAGAATTTGATGATCCCCATCAATCTGTGATAGGGCTTCCCATTGTGGTTGAATTCAAGGAGAGCAATGGTCCTCTCCGCTGAGGTTAATTGGATGATCTTTGACCTCTTGTGGTAATAAACAAGATACCCTATTAGGGAGATGTCATTGTGATGTTAAAGGGGCATATATTATATATTCTCTTTTCTATGCAGTCAATTTGACATCAAGGAGGTATGACATCAGGGGTGAAAGAATAATTTCACAATTCATAATAAAAATGACTCATGGGTATTTGTATGACAGTGTAATTTATACACCTAGTATTTTTTTTTGGGGGGGGGGGCTGATTGCATACTTTACAGCACCAACCTGAACACCATTCCTAGGGGACCATCGCTCTTCTTGTTACCTTTTACCAATATTTTTGTGTCTGCCATTCTAGATTTCAGTGTCAACGTAATTGAATGACATATTTGCTCTTTCAATTCCACATGTACTGTATTTGCTTTATTAGAAGCACATCTCCAATAGAAGTGTATGTCAGCTGAATGAATATGCATGTTGGAGTTGGAGCAAATATGGTAATCTGACTTGCATGATGAACCCAGTTCACTATCATACTATAGCAATTTATAGCACAGTGACCAAGCCATGTTATCACTTGATTTATTCTTTTTATCACATTGCGTTTTTTAACTGTATTTTTTTATTAGTAAATCCAAAATGACCAACTTGTGCTAAAAACCTAATGACTGGCAGATGTATCATATTTCATAGCCAAATGTAATGTCAAATCTGATTGGTCAGTTTGCATGCCAGGTGGCATGATAATTATAGTTTGAAGTTGATATTCAATGCCACAGCACATGAAAATATATTACAAGTGACTTTAGATGCATCGTCATTCCGTCCATGTAAATTTTAAAAAGCTAAAGATTACATGTTTTTTTGAATATCCCTTTCTCAACCTGAAATTTCTCTCACAAATGTCAGCACTTTTCATGAAAAAGTGAACAAATAAATTTGCAGCAACTTCTTTTCATATTTAAACCAGTATGGCATTCAATAGATTTTGCTTCGCTTGTGACAACCTCTTGCCTCATTGCCATACTAGCTGTTTATATTATTGGTTGCTAGTCTCATACATGTAGTACTAGGCATTCATTATTTTTTAGCTAAATGGTGAATCATGATTGCAATTTAAATGAAATCAATATCTTTTGTTGTCTTCCAAATTGTATACATGAAGAGTACCAGTTGCCATGGTATACTTGTTCCTGGTTCTGAAACTGACAATGTCATTGTTGTTTTTCAGGCCACTAATATGTTTCTACCTGCAACTTTAATTTGATGAAAACAATGTTTCCTAATATGGACTTAAATTGCAATCAAAGCAGAGCATTCAGGCAAAATTGCATAATTGACTATAGTCAGTAGTACAACTGTCAACTGGCGGTTAGTCAGCAGGAATGAAACATGAATTTTAATACTACAGTCATGTAATTTCACCTTCAGTAATCAGTCAATTTGTTGCAAACAAATATATTGCATTTAATCCAAAAACATTGAAAAATGATGTTTTTGAGTTTTGTTTTATTACCAAACAACTGACATCAAGCTACTGGCTCCATTTCATATCATTTATTTACTATTTTTCTTTCGTAAATTTAAATATTTAATAGTATTACGTACGTGGGAGTGGAACAATACTTATTTTTATAGTAGAGTGTATTTTTTATGATTGGTTGTTAAAACAGGCTGTACCAGTAAATGTAACTCAGAATAATGGGTCCACTAGAGCAAATACACCGACTGTCTGGAGTAGATGGAGGAGCCACCTGTGCAGTCATTAAAAAGAAAAGTCACTTTATTTTCACATAAATCAATAATCATGTGCATATACAGTTTTATTTTCATGGAACAAAATTTTGAGACTTGGAAAACACTAAATCAGTGAATATTTCACTAGATCTTTAACCATTTGAATGTCATGAGTTGTTAGTGCAATACTATGCACAAAATTTTATTCCAACGAATGTCATCAAATTATCATGTGATAAAGATTGTACCTTGTACAGTAGATTATGTAGTGTACATTGAAAGAGTTCTCCAATGGTAGTCAATGAATGAGGTCTTATTCCCAATGGTTTGTCACTACATGTACACGTCTGTGCCGGGCTGTGGTCGTCATGCAGTGTGTCAACAAACATTAATGTATTTTATACAGTGTTATGGGACCCATAGCAAACTTGACATGACTGCTGCCACTTTTTTAGACAATCCATGACTGTCTGTGGAAACGTTCAGTTGTGGAAGTGTTAATGTACAGAAATTGAATGATGTATATGTAAATGTTTTTAAAATTTTCTACATGTTTTGCAAATTTTAAATTAAATTTGAAAAGAAATTTTTACTTAAAAATAATAAAATTTTTTGTAATCATCCTCCAGATTACATAGTCCTGTCATAAGACTCTCATATAATATTCTTGAAAAAAACACATTTGTAAATGAATATTAAAATATTATATGATTTGCAGTTGTAAACTTTCTCTGTTGTTCTTGGTGCTGTTTTTTTTCCACAAATCTGGAACACTGTATTTTAAGGGTAACTATGAACTTGTGTTTGATGAAATGCTTTTTTGTTAATAAAAAGAAAAGAGAAAAAATGTCTGTTTGTCAATACAATTATGCTTTCTGCCATAATTAATTGTTTTTAACTGAACCAGTATAATTAATCTGCAATTTTCAGTTCTATAGTTTTATAGTTTGTTGACTAGTTTCCATCAAATAAATGAAAAAAGCAAATAAAAATTGGATTATAGTGTTGAACCCTATTTTGGTTGCCACTATCAAATTAAACTATTAAATGACCTAACAAAATACTTCATTTAGCCATCACTTGTTGCTATCAATTCATATTGAGGAGAAATAATACTTTCTTCCCATGTTTCAAACTTTGTTGATATCATGTTACCACTGGATAAAACTGATTTTAATGAGCCCAATATCTAAAAAATATTTGTTTTTCATGGTCCAATTAATGGAATAATTACAGTAGGGGCTGGAATCTTGTTCTCATATACTGTAAAGTACTTTATTTTCACCTGGAATTTATTTTCGCGAAAACCTATTTTAAATTGAACTCATCAAAAATTGATGATTTACAGAACCGACAAATGCTATGCCATTCATAGAATAAGGTTTATGTAGTTTAGATTGAAAAAAATTATTTCACATCCACTATATACTAATGAATGAAAATGAAATGTAAACATCTTAATTGTTCACACTGTTTAGTGAGAATCAGCCCATGGTAAGAGGGATGTCATCGACCCCATGGTGACAGGAATGTCATCAGCCCATGTAGAAGAATTGCCATCTGAGCCCCTTGGTCTAAGTCAGAATCAGCTCATGGTAGGAGGGATGTCATCGACCCCATGGTGGCAGGAATGTCATCAGCCCATGTAGAAGAAATGCCATCAGAGCCCCTTGGTCTAAGTCGGAATCAGCTCATGGTAGGAGGGATGTCATCGACCCCATGGTGGCAGGAATGTCATCAGCCCATGTAGAAGAAATGCCATCAGAGCCCCTTGGTCTAAGTGGGAATCAGCCCATGGTAGGAGGGATGTCATCGACCCCATGGTGACAGGAATGTCATCAGCCCATATAGAAGGAATGCCATCTGAGCAGCATGGTTAGTGGGTATCAGTCCATGGTAGGAGGGATGTCATCAGACCATGTAGAAGCAATGCCATTTGAGCCCCATGGTTAGTGGGAATCAGCCCATGGTATGAGGGATGTCATCGTCCTCATGGTGACAGGAATGTCATCAGCCCATATAGAAGGAATGCCATCTGAGCAGCATGGTTAGTGGGTATCAGTCCATGGTAGGAGGGATGACATCAGCCCATGTAGAAGAAATGCCATCTGAGCCCCTTGGTCTAAGTGGGAATCAGCCCATGGTAGGAGGGATGTCATCGACCCCATGGTGGCAGGAATGTCATCAGCCCATATAGAAGGAATGCCATCTGAGCCCCATGGTTAGTGGGAATCAGCCTAGGTTAGGGATGTCGTCAGCTGCATTGTTATAGACTCAATGGTTTATGTCACTGTTATTTTTTATAGGCATGAAATGACCCATTACACAAGAAAGGCAAAAAATGCCAGCCATTGACCATTATGGATGGTGGCAGTCTTGCTTCGTATTTCATATAAATCTCATGTGAATTAATGCATGTTAAATGCATTGTTTGATTATGCTGCATAACAACCACCAACCCTTTAAATAATACATATCTTTTGTACCATACAATACTAAAACAGGGAAAAGTATTTTGTTATGAGTCTAGCTATTTTAAGAATTATTATTTAACTTTTGTTTACTCCTGAAAAGGCCATAAAACTTGTCTAGACTTTCTACTCAAAACCCAACATATTAGGGTGAGCTATTACAATACTACACCTCGCATGAATAGATTAATACAGTGATAGAATATGTCATTCAACAGAATAGATGTCAGTACATGCAAGTACATTGAATCTGGACTTTTCCCCAGAAATTCTCTATAATTCAAAATGGCCCACCCCCAGTTATGTAATTCTGCATGCCCATGTGTGATGTGATTAGCCACATTGGAATCAGTGTTTTTATGTGACAAGTCACCTTATGTGATTAACCCTGATAATATACAGGACAAATTCTCTCCATCTAATAAAAAATAAAATAATCATTGAAAATACTAGCATTTGAATATTTGCATAATGATGTGATAAATTTAAATAATTCTTAAAAGAACTTTTGAAACATGTAAATTCAGAAGAGATTAGAAATGTACTTTGTTAATAGTCATTCAATAACTGCAATTTAAACTGTACGATGTCAATATGAAACATTACAGTGTTTGAGGCATTTTGAGCTTTTATCAATATATATATATATAATGAATCATGCATACACATGACTATGAAATAATGAACCACCTTGTAGCATGTCTGCTGACGTGACTTGACAAAATTGAACAAATAAAATTTACGTTGTCATAAAATTCCTGTTTGTCCCTTCCTGTAGTTAAAATTACAGACATAATGTTGAATTATACATGCAGCAGTCATTTAGTGATCTTGGCTTATTCAGAACAACAAATATAATAAAATTATTACTTACAATTAATAATTCAATTATTTTTTTCCAAAACAAATCCTACCTATCAAATGAAAACAAAAATCATGATTTATTACAGAGTGACTGGCATCCTATGCTGAATTCATGGTGAGTGACATTCTATTCCAAATTTCCCATGACAGATATCGTATGCTGAGTCTGTGTTGAATCCCATCATATCCTGAGTTTTATGGAGACTGCCAACCTATTCCAATGAATCTACGCACACTTCTGTTTACAGGCTTTTAGGTAATATGAAAAAAAAACACAGAGTAAAGAATGCTGACAAACATTCTAGTATGGATTCTTGGTGACTGCCATTCTATTACGGATTCTTGGTGACTGGCATCCTATTATGGATTCTTGGTGACTGATCCCATTACGAATTCTTGGTGGCTGGCATCCTATTATGGATTCTTGGTGACTGGCATCCTATTATGGATTCTTGATGACTGGCATCCTATTATGGATTTTTGGTTACTGCCATCCTATTACGGATTCTTGGTGACTGGCATTCTATTATGGATTCTTGGTGACTGGCATCCTATTAAGGATTATTGGTGACTGGCATCCTCATATGGATTATTGGTGACTGGCATCCTATTATGAATTCTTGGTGACTGGCATCCTATTATGGATTATTGGTGACTGGCATCCTATTATGGATTATTGGTGACTGGCATCTTATTATGGATTCTTGGTGACTGGCATCTTGTTATGGAATCTTGGTGACTGGCATCCTATTATGTATTCTTGGTGACTGGCATCCTATTATGGATTATTGGTGACTGGCATCCTATTATGGATTATTGGTGACTGGCATCCTATTATGTATTCTCGGTGACTGGCATCCTATTATGGATTATTGGTGACTGGCATCCTATTATGGATTATTGTTGACTGGCATCTTATTATGGATTCTTGGTGACTGGCATCTTGTTATGGATTCTTGGTGACTGGCATCCTATTATGTATTCTTGGTGACTGGCATCCTATTATGGATTATTGGTGACTGGCATCCTATTATGTATTATTGGTGACTGGCAT